ACACACACACAGTGGCATCTTTCAAGTGTGCCTCTCTGAAGCCACAGAACAAACTGGGAGTTAGAGCAAACACACAGCAAAGGACAGACAGTGAGGCCGAGGCAGCAAGAGTGATTCCCACACAGACTGTTTAGGTTGCTCACTTTCAAGCCTGGGTCTCCCTCTAAGGTCTATTGGGTCTCCTGTGAATGTGGGGAGACTCACAAAGGAGACAGGGTAAACAACTGAGAAACATAAAACCATCAGAAACATTAGGAGAACATACTCATAAATGTATAATTATTAAGCTACTGACTTAGAGGAAATCAAAATGATGATCTGAAATATTTCCAACATGATAACTGAGTAACAGCCCAAACGCTGGTGTGAGGGGGTGTACAGCTGCAATACAGAGTCACTGGCACAGAGACGCCATGGGCCACGCTGCCCTTTAGCAGCACTGCACAGCACCTCACTGAACCCTCAGGACAAACAGAGTGGTTACCCCTAGCTTACAGACATAGTAACTCAGGCTAGAAAGAGTAATTTTCCCAGTTATTATTAGCTACCCAGCAGCAGAAACAGAGTATAAACTTGGTCTTGTTGTTAATTCTTTTCCTAACACATGCCCGTATTGCTTCCACTGTGTTGCCTTAATGTTTGCTAGAAATTCATTGATATTTCTACCTAATCATACACCTTCAGTAGAATAACATTAACTGAAGTTTAGCTGATGCCGTTAGAAATGTAGCTCTTGGTGATGGCACGTGGGTGACGTGGTGGTGGGAAGTCGACGGGGATTACAACTGAGATGAAAAGTTACAAAAGGGATAATGTAAAATATATACATATAATTTTTCTAAATAATAAAAATAAATAAATAAACCTTTTTTTAAATTGTGGCTTTTAAAGTGATGCCGTTTGTATTTCTCTGAAATATTTCTGTAGGTCACTGCTTGATCAACCATGGAATTATCTTTGCATCCAAAGCAAAACCAAATTTCCAAAAACAATCTGAACACTCTAGAACTTCAGGATTAGTCCTTTCAAATCTAACTTTGTGTCACGAATAAGTACATTTTCAATCAACTCTTCTCTTCTACAAAATGAAACACTCAGGCCCTCCCTGGTGGCGCAGCGGGTTAAAGCAC